TATACTTATAAAATAAAAATACTGCATGTTAGCTAAACATTATCGTCCTACTTCCGAACATCCATAATGTAGTTTATCCAGTATAATACAGGTATACACACAAACATTATTAGATGCATCACTGACAGAGTACAGCATAAAATAACGTTACCTGCAATCCATTCCGTTTATTCCAGGTGAATATTGTCCCTGGATATCCACTCAGAGCCAGCAGCAGCTCATGGATCATTTTGCCGGTGCTGTTAGTTAGATAGCGTATTCAAATGAAACACACGATAATAAAAATACAGATAGCAAATTCTCATCATTAATATTTTCGCACCGCCAAAACCCCGGTCGCATGTTGATGACGCGAATCCCGAGCGCGACAGGGGAAGTGCTCAGCCAGCTCCACTGCACTTATATTTAACATAATATTTTTATCACATACAGCTGATGAGGACTCATCTGCAGAGAATATATTTAGAGGTGAACAGAGCTTGCTTTCTCTTCACGATCTGCTGTAGAGTTTTTGGTGTGTTTAGCATTTATATTACATGTGTTGCTGGCACCTATAGCGACTGATTCGACTCATTGAAGTTGAGATTAGAGTTATGTAAATACAGTGGTCATTTTAATGCATTACTAAAATGCTTTGGTAATTATAACGTGATAACTTATAATCATAATCTGGGCGAAGTCGAATGAAAACAAGCCTAAAACTACAATTAACTCAACACTGAGAACTAATGTAAAATTAAAATACATACTTATGTTTATGTTTAAACTGTCCAGTCTGCAGCATTAAATGCCTTGCCAACTACAGTTGAACTGTTTGTTTGTTTGTCTGTCGCTGGGAAACATGCCTACAATTTCAGTCCTTAGGCCATGAACCTGCTGTGTGGGACACTACCTTTTTTATGAACTTCTCAAACTGACTTTTGATTTTCAGTGATGGCGGCAGGGAGAGGAGGAGATATCGTCTCCGAGTTCCTCAGTCAGAATCCACACCTGGAGAACTGGGTGGAATCTTTAAGAGGACCCTGTGAGACAAATAAACAGTGGCATGCCAGAAGAGAGTTTGTGCTGCGCAATATGGAGGACTTTCCTTCCATCCAACCTGGGATCCCAAGTCCTAGTTTAGACAGACTTCTGTCTCTGTCCATGGTTTGGGCCAACCACGTGTTTTTGGGCTGTCGGTAATTGTTATTTTTGGATTTGGTTCATTTTTTTTTTCCATGAACACAAAATGCATTTCTTATTTCAGTTGTTTGCGGGTGAATGTCATGTATCTCATTTTTTGCTGAATCTTTTTATTTTGAACGCTACCGTTTGAAAGTCTGGGGTCAGGATGTTTTTTTTTTAAAGAAATCAATACTTTCATTCAGCAAAAACACATTAAATTGATCAAAAGTGACAATAAATACATTTATAATGTTACAAAATATTTCTATTTCATTTCAATTCTTTTTGAATATATTCTTCAAAGAATCAGTTTTCACAAAAAAATATTAAACAGCACAACCGTTTTTAACATTGGTAGTAAAAATATGAAGTAATGGCTGCTGAAAAAACAGCTTTATCATCACAGGATTAAATAACATTTTAAAATACATTCAAATGTAAATTATTTTAATAATTTCAAATCATTTATTTGAATAATATCAAATAAATGTAGCCTTGGTGACTTCTTTTAAAAATCTTTCTGACCCCAAATTTTTGAAAGGTAGTGGACAATGCATACATAAAATGACATAAATATAAAGTATAAAGCTTAAAGAACTGTCCTGATAATAAAGGTTAAAAAGATGAAACAGTTTGTTTTATTTGTTATTAGTATATTAATATTTGAAAAATGTCCACCAAAGAATAGTCACACCACACTTCTGATACATTTTAGACTTGCTAGATAGACTTGATTGATTGTTAGACAGATACGTTTTAGACTTGGTTTTTCAAATGATTTTTCTTTTTTTTACTGAGAACACTCTTATTTGTTATTGGCCCTAATGCAGATATCCACAGCCTGTAATGGACAAGGTAAATGAGATGGCAGAAGGAATCACTGTGATTGAAGCCCCTGTGCGAAAGACTAGAGATGAAATCATGGCAAAAACAAAAAGACCTGCAGTTTCAGGTAAATGGGCTATCTTTAATGTGTGTCATTGAATTAGTGTACACAACCGTTCAAAGGTTTGGGGTTAGCAAGTTTTTTTACAATGCTTTTAAAAGAAGTGTCTTAATCCAAAGTGAAGTGAAAGTGAAAGTTTGATTAAATTACGCTTTTATCTGAACTCAAAAATAACCTCTTAACCATTTTATTTCACTGAATCTTTTTGTAGTGAGTCTTATGTGTACTAGATGTGGACATTGAAATAATAGTACTTTTTACGATGTGCAATAATTGTACTATATGCTGCTGCTTAATAAGTGCAATAATTTTGTTTTAGATGCTGCTAATTACTATGTGCATAATTTAATATTTATATGCTGCTGTCATTCCTTTTAGTGCTATATTCTTTTAAATGAACACTGTTGCCATTTCTATTATATATATATTTTTATACTGATTTTATGGTACGTGTTTAGTTTAGTGCAGTATTTATGAGCCAGTGGAACGGAATTTCGTTCATATGTGCATTCTGTATGTACAGTTGAATGACAATAAAAAAGCTACCTACCTAAAAAAATACACTAAAAACAGAATATTGTGAAATATTATACCGTTTCCATTTCCATTTTCTTGTTATTATCAATGTTTAAAACAGGTGTGCTGCTTAATATTTTTGTGGAAAAAGTGGTATTTTTTCAGGATAGTTCAAAGAACATCACTTTTGATCAGTTTAATGTGTCCTTACTGAATAAAAGCATTAATTTCTTTCAAAAAATAAAATCTTACTGACCCCAAATTTCTGAACAGTACAGTAATACAGAATGTTTGATCACTGATTTACACTGAGCTCTTTAACTGTATTTTGTAGCAGTGGATGCTGATGATTCCCAGAGTGTGCTGCTTAATATTTTTGTGGAAAAAGTGGTATTTTTTCAGGATTCAAATAGATAGTTCAAAGAACGTCACTTTTGATCAGTTTAATGTGTCCTTACTGAATAAAAGCATTAATTTCTTTCAAAAAATAAAATCTTACTGACCCCAAATTTCTGAACAGTACAGTAATACAGAATGTTTGATCACTGATTTACACTGAGCTCTTTAACTGTATTTTGTAGCAGTGGATGCTGATGATTCCCAGAGTAAGAAGGCTAAACCCAACGATACAGACGTTAAAGCTCATGCGAAGAGTGTTGGGCGTCCAGCTGCCAGTACTCTCAAATCGGGCCCTCCGCCGGGGGCTCCTGCAGAACACCAGCCCTTTTTTAATCGACTCTATAAGGCAGTTGCTTGGAAGCTTGTGTCTGCTGGTGGCTTTGGCCCCAATTTGGAACACTTTGAAATCTTGCGCAGTTGTGTGGAGTCATGTAAGGCCAGTCTTGCTTGTGTGTTTGTTCCACTCAAAGACATTCCTGACCTGCCTATGGGACGTACCCAGAAAGAAGGCCAGGTGTGTGAACTGCGCTGCTGCACCGTCTACATGGGTACGGGCTACGGGCGCGATGAGTGTGCCGCCAGGGCTATGGCCTCCAAGGAAGCACTCAAAGTGTTTCAAGGGCAAAAAGTGACAGTGAAAGTTTGCCGCCGCAGGTTCCAAGGACAAGACGCTGACGATTTGGTTCTGCTGGATGAACAGTCCAGGAGCCAGGTTTTCCCTCCGGCTCTCAGCTACCCCTTTCAGGAAGACCAGTAGAGCTTCATTCATATGCCACAATGACATAAGGTTGTAGATTCACCTGTGACAACTGTGAAATCGTTTCCAAAGAGTTTCATTTGTTTCAGTCATTCTCATTCAGAATAGCACTGTGGAGAAGGAATGGTAGGAATATAGTCGTTTGTAAAAGTGATCAAAAAATGAGTTTTGCGCCTTGTAAAATGCTTCCGCTGTTGCTTTAGAGTCTTGTTTGTGGTTTTGAAGTTTAGATGGTTTAGATCTTCATGGTTGTTGAACATCCATAACTGTGGTTATAGTTCAGTCTGACCTTGAAAAATGTTGGTGGTTTCAAAAGCTGCTATTTTAATTGATAAATGTCAATTGTCGATAGCTTTTGTTTTGTTTATTTCTAAAACATTACATTGAGAATATACAGTCTGCAGTTGAATCTGTGGTTGTGATTGTCTATGTCCAATATTCAAACAGATAATATTCACAAAAATAAATCTTGGATTAATACATGAATGGAAGCAAAATTGTAATGTTATACTCCGTTTTGATTGTTAAAAGAAAACATTACAGTAAATAATAAAAAAGTAAAGAAATAAGATCTCATTGTTAGCTTAATATCTAAATTTCATGACACTGTTTTTTACATTTTTCCCTTGCTTCACATATATTGGACAGTTTTTATTTATTAATACATATCATAACCACTTTCTGTGACGAGGTTTGGTAATGTTTGTTGCTGTTGTTTTGGACCTTTAGGCATATTCTTTGAATGTCAAATAAAAATTGCCATCTGTTTCAAACCAGTGTTAAATGTTCAAGCAGAAGTATCAATGAAGTGTAAGTGTTTGGTTAAATGTATCTCAGTCTAATGTTCGAAAAAGCTAGCTTTACTTGAGGTTTAACTTGGGTTATATTCTGATTTCATAAAAATATGTGCCGTTCTGTCTATCCGTACTGTTTTGTTTGGTAGCGGCATTTAAAAAAATAAAAAATCTTGAATCTTTAGAAATCTCACACTTGATGGGGTGGTTCCAAATTGGCCACTATATGGCATTGTAATAACTACAATTGCTTTTTTAGTTTATAACTCTGTAACTATAAGTCAAAGGATTCTAGATTTACAGTTTACCCCTAGGTGAATTGTTCACCAGTTTAAATGGAAAAACTCTTCCAAGGCTCTTGGTTTGAAATCAAACTTGGCACACATCATCCCAAGAACCTCATGACCAAAAACAAAAATGTATTAAAATGTTGCGAAGACATAAGCCAGTTAAAACAGTTTGGAATTGCCTATTTTCACGAATTGACCTTAAGATAAATACTTATGGATTTACACATTTTTAGTTGCATATGAAAATGTAAATGTTGAACAAGTGTCCACATATATGTTTTAATCACAGTTTTTATAGAGGTTTTTCTTTCTTTTTTTTTACTTCTCTTTCTGTCTTAACAGTAAGAGGGAGTGATTTCCTTTCAAGTCAGTTGTCTATTTTGACAACAGTATATATTGCTGTAAACGGTTTTTATCAAACACTATAAGTAAACATTCAAGATGGACTTTGCGGTAGAAATTATATCAAAATATGAAAAGATGGTTGGTCCCTAATGATTGCCATTTGCAGCTAATTGAAAACGATTTTTGTTAAAACACTTCATTTGTTCTTTTGCAGGATGTAATCTGCCTCCAGTTACAAT